AGTACGCGTAGAAATGCTTGTCCGGAATAGAGTCCGAAGGCATGATGCTCCGTGTTGGAATGGGTATAGCGGGATGATTTGCATCATCATCAACGCGAGTTAGCCTCGACATTGAGGAATTCGTACCTACGTTCGTCGATCTGAAACAAGATCTATAATGATGCCAGGACTTGCATGGTTCGAGGTGTTTGGTGGAAGTTGTGGCGTAGAGGGGGTGCTGCAGGCGGTGCGATTGTTTGTGACAGTGTTAATAGCACAGTCCTGTTAGCCCTAAACGGCTTGGGCATAAAGTGAAGAGTACGCGATGCAGTGTGCCACCTTGAGATGGGTGTGCAGACGCGTTGTGGTATACTTGTCCTAAAGTCCTGTTGTCGCGCTGGGTGGCTGGGAGGCTGGGAAGCTGTGCAGCCCGGACCCAACGCCAATTTTTCAAAAGTTTGCCCAGAGCTGAGTTGCAGGGCGAAGTCAGAACATGAATGCGCAGCCTGATTATTGTGTAGAAGAACGCATGGTGCGATGTGGTCAGACTCGTCGAGTGAAACAGGCCCTCCATTTGTTTCCAAGAGTGGGGGTGTCGCAGGTACTCGTTCATGGCTCGTATAGCAACCATGGATACGGCGAGTCGGTGTCCATTGCATCGGCCGGCAGGCCTCTGTCACGAGACGTAGAAAGCAAACAGCCCTGGAATAGTCCACAGCAGTAGGGCATGATATCAGAGAGTCGGATGAAGCGGGAGCTGCAAAGCAGGAGTACTGGCATCGGCCGAGCAGGATATTTACAGTACATGTGCAGGCCTCGGGCGACGTCATATACCGAGAAGTTGCTTTGGCATGCTGCGATGGCACGGAAAGGGGAGAAAGGTAAGACGGATAAACAAGAAACAGTGTGGCTAGAAAGCCGGTTAGTCGAGTAGCTCAAACGGGGAAGAGGTGTAGAAGAATAATGGAGTGGCTGATGAAAGATGGCGTAAGGCTGAACAGGCTAACCAACGCAGACCCTGGGCGATGATGGTCCCAGCCGCCAGACAGCTGTAGCGTCGACACATGTCATCCAGGCATTGAAACATTCTCTGCACGCTGCGCTACGTCTTTTCTTAGCTGCTATAAGCAAAACCCTCTGCTAGTCTTGCCCAGAAATCCAGGGAAACAAAAAGAAAGCCCTGCATCCCTGAACCGGTGCTCTACCAGACTACTCGGCCTCGCAGCAATCCGTATTCCGACTCACCACCACATCGTTGCCAGCGCGCCGTGAAGCTGACAAGGCACCGAAAACCCGACCGATCCTTACGAATCCGACGTCCGAAATGTCCGCTTGCTAGGAACAACGTCATACCCGATCCCTGCATTCGCTCGACCGCCAAACGTTTATACAAACAGCCCTGCGTATTCAGCACCCAAGCCCCGCGTATTGTCGGTACCAAGATCCACAGCCACAACAACCTCATACAGGAAGTAGTATTACTGCACACAGCCAGTCATGGCTGGAATGGAGAACATCGAGGTGCATAGCAAGGTATGTACAGTGTCCACGTCGCGCTCCCACGCTGATTGAAGCCAGTCGTACCTTGTAAGATGGGTCAATGTCAACTCAGGACATACCATATCATGGAGCGTTCAACCCCACAAGAAATCTATCAACTTCGGCATCTTCAAGCACCCCGGATCAGCCACCGGCGCAACTCCAAACCTGCCAGCCTCTGCGACTGTCGAAGCCGGACCTGGCACCCCTAGCCTCGAGCCGCCTACAACGCGCGGACGCGGAGCCTCGACCTCACGAAACGATAGGACCGTGGTGTTAGAAAAGTTGGCGGCCATTGGGCTGAAGCAGGTGCACTGGCATGGGAAATGCGAGGCCGATTTGGTGTCCATGGGCACATACGACGTGCCAGCAGGAGAGGGTGGCATGTACGGATTGGTCTTTGACAACACCTTCTCCAAGACTGTTTCCAAGACAGCCACCTTCGTCCTCATGACATATCCGACGAATGCGGCGCCCAAGTCTGGCCATCACATGCACTATGCGCACGCCATGGCAGGCGCGAGCACAACGAGCCTCCCCAAATCGAGCCCCTCTATGGGCCCCGTCGAATCTTCGGAATCCCTGCCACAAGCCTACGCCGAGCGACCAGGATCACAACATACGCAGAAACAAGCCAGTCTTTCAGGAGGCTCATTCCTTACCGGAGTGCTGCAGAAGAAGAGGAGGAAGAAGAACCAGGGCTATGCCAGGAGGTTCTTCTCCTTGGACTTTACATCGTCTACCCTCTCCTACTACCGAAACGACCATTCCTCAGCATTACGTGGAGCCATACCTTTGTCGTTAGCAGCTGTTGGTGCCAACGAGGACACGCGAGAGATATCTGTCGACTCCGGCGCTGAGATCTGGCAACTACGGGCAAACAACGCGAAAGACTTTCAGATGTGGAAGAACGCGCTTGATCGCGCATCAAGATCAGCGTCAGATAGGGGTAACATGGCTTCGCCAACACTACAAATCAAAGACAGTCCATTCCAAAGCCTTGGGCATGTCATGAATGCGGCCGAAGAGAACGAATGGGCAAGGGTCGAAGCCTTGGTGGGCAGAGTTTCTGGTACAAGAGACGCGGTCCGACGGCTGGCTCAAGATACCGATCCCAAGTATGGTGCATCGTCAGCCATAAGCGTTGGCAAGGTCAACGATAGCCTTTCTCCAACACCCTCCGAAGCCGAATCAGGCGACTACTTCCCAGAACAAAAAGCCCCTGAGAAGATGGCCTTTTGGAAACGCAAGCCGAGCAGTTCTGGCGTTCAGAGTCCGTCTGGTGGTATCTTCAAGAGGAGTGTGTCCGCGCAAGTGGGTGCCGCATCACCTGGAGCCGTTCCTCCTGTACCGCCCCTGCCCTCAAATGCGTCGATAAACGGCAGTCTTGCAGTGCCCAAGCGTAATGGTCGTGCAAGCACGATGAGCTACTCAAGCTACACTAGCCATACACACGAGGAAAGCGTTCACGACAACTGCATGGCTTTACTAAAAGATCTGGACTCTGTCGTCAAGGAGTTCTCTGAACTGATCAGTGAAAGCAAACAACGACGGATGCCTCCACCTGCACCTCTCTCGGCCGTAGAGTCGCGTCATAGCTTTGAATCAGTAGCCGAATCCGTTGATGAGTTCTTCGATGCACCAGATGGCGACGCCAACAGGTCACAGCTCCTTACCATCCGCCGCGACAGCGAAGAGGATAGGCGAGAACGCGAACAATCGCCAGATGCCGACTCGGATGGTGAATCAGAATCGTCATCAGAAAATGGCAGTGTTGGCATGATGGATCGACCTCGCATGTCACGGGAAACTACCCCGGCGCTTTTCCCTACACGACCCAAGTCACTTACACCACTGCCGCTTGAACCTGTGAAGCGCCGCGGCACGGTTCCAGCTCCAAAGGTCCAGCCTCCAAGTCTTATCGCATTCTTCAGGAAGAATGTCGGCAAAGATTTGTCAACTATCGCGATGCCGGTATCAGCTAACGAGCCTACATCTGCACTGCAACGACTGGCAGAGCAGCTGGAGTACAGCGAGCTGCTCGACGCTGCAGTGACTGCCACGCCAGACAACGGTGAGCGCCTCGTCTACATGGCCGCATTCGCCATATCAGCATTTAGCAACGCTCGTGTCAAGGATCGTGCTATTCGTAAGCCGTTCAATCCCATGCTCGGCGAGACCTACGAACTTGTCCGCGAAGACAAGGGTTTCCGTTTCTTCGCAGAGAAGGTTGTCCACCGTCCCGTCCGCATGGCATGTCAAGCCGAAGCTGCAGAATGGACGTTTGTGCAATCACCAACACCGATGCAAAAGTTTTGGGGTAAGAGTGCAGAGATCAACACCGAAGGTCGTGTGCGCATCTTTCTCCACGGTTCAGGCGAACACTACTCCTGGACTCTCGCAACCTCTTACCTACGTAACGTCATTGCCGGCGAAAAGTATCTCGAACCCTCTGGCACTATGACCATCATCTCAGAGACCACGGGCGCAAAAGCCATCTGCACCTTCAAAGCCGGTGGCATGTTTGCCGGCCGCTCAGAAGAAGTCTCCGTCCAAGTCTTCGACGCCACCGGCTCCGTTCTGCCCATGGGCGCAACAGGCAAGTGGACGACCGACCTCCAACTCACATCCAATGGCCAACCCACCGGCAAGACCATTTGGAAAGTAGGCGACCTTGTCGACAAAGCTGAGAAGCACTACGGTCTGACCACTTTCGCCGCTGCCCTCAACCAAGTCACGGCCATCGAACAAGACCACATGGCTCCCACGGATTCCCGCCTCCGACCCGATCAGCGCGCCCTCGAAGACGGCGACGTGGACAAAGCCGAAGCACTGAAAGCGCGACTTGAGGAGAGACAGCGCAGTCGAAGAAGGGTCATGGAAGAACATGGTGACGAATGGAAACCACGTTGGTTTACCAAGGTCGGGGCCGTGGAAGCTGCGGCGTTGGGCGATGAAGAAGTTTGGAGACTCAAGGGTGGGAAGGATGGGTACTGGGAGTGCAGGGAACGCGGCGACTGGGGTAATATCCAGGAAGTTTTTGAGACCTAGTGTAGAGAGTTGTTTTTTTAGCGACATTTTTGGTGTTAGATAGTGAGCGACGTTGACCACATCACGCAGACAGCGCGAATGAGAGAATCCATGTTGTTGGAATTAATGACGGGCTTTTCGCACCGAAGTTATATGATGAAGATTATGTGACAAATATCGTCTGACGCGACATGGTACAAAGCGTATAGGATGGTATCAAAAACATAATCTTTGGTATATAATACTATGGCAAGAATGGAAGCCGAATGCGGCAGAAAGACCTCATACCCTTAATAGATAGCCATGAGTCTCAGGCACCGAAAAACACCGCGCAATGCTAATACCCAAAAGTTGAGAGACTTTTATCTAAGGGTCTACACGGAAGACTGAATCAAAAGAGAAGCTAAGAATCAATGCCAAGCCAGTCCAGGTCAAATTGCTTGGTGGCCTGCTCAAATCTCAATATCCATGCCAATGTCCATGTTAGCAATGATATCGTCATCCATCTTGGGTTTTCTAAATGTCGGTAGTCCTTTCCGCTCGGTCTTCTTCTTGCCTTGCGGTTGTTGTTGTGGGTTCGGTGTGCTTGCTCGGCTCGAAGCGTCGCCGTCAAACAGCGCATCGACGTCCAGGTTGTTGTTCTTCCTGGCCGCCTCCTCTTCTTGTGCCTTCCTGGCCTCTTCTTCTGCTTTCCGCCGGGCCATCTCCTTCTTCTGCTCCATCTTCTTCTGACGCTGTTGGTCAAGTTGTGCTTTGCGGACACGCTCAGCTTCTAGGATGCGGTTCTTGCGGTTCAACTCGGCGATACGTGCGGCCGCTGTTTCTGACTGTGTCGCAATCTTGGGCTGGGCATCCGAGTTGGAGCGGTTAAGGAGATGTGCGTACTTCTTCGACTTGGCGATACGTGCGCTGATGTCGGCATCGGTCCAGTGGTGGTTCTGCAGAGCCTTGAGGTCGTCGTATTTCCTTTGGAGGAAGGATTGTGTGGGAACCTTGGCGTTGGCCTCTATAAGAGATTGGCGGTATGCGTCGAGGTCGCTTTCGCTGAAGCGCTGGTTCGACAAGAATTGGAACTGGTAGTCCTTCTTCACGGAGCCGTGTTGGGCGATGACGTATTGGTCCGTCGCGACGCGCTTGCCGTCTTTTCCTTCGAAAACGTAGGGTTTGCCAGCTGAGAAACCTAAAAACAACATGTTAGCATGATGCGCGATGTAGGTGTCGTTCTCCTTACCCTTGATTTGCGCCATCTTGTACAGGGTCCTGCGTTGAGCATCCTGGCCCACACCAACACGTCCAAATGCGCCAGTCATGGCCTCTTCGAAACCTGGGTGGAAACAGACTTCTGAGAAGAATCCTCGACCAACACGAACGGACTCGAAATCACGAAGGGTGGCAGGCACCTCTTCGCGGGCCTTTTCTGGCACGCGGTCGTCCCACTCGACGTCGCTCTCACCATCAGCATCGACGTCTGAGCCACCGTCTCGATCGGCAGAGCTGGACCGCCTGCGGCCACTGCGTCGGTCGTCGTTCCGTTGCCGCTGCTGACCGCGCTGCTCACGCTCACGCTTGTATGCCTCGAGCTTCTCGTTCTTCCGCGGCTGTACCTTTGGACGACTGCTCTTACGCTCGTCGGCGTCTTCGGAACTAGCCTTGCGCTTCCGGTCGTTCTGGACATTTGCTGCGCGCCTGGCGAGCTCGGCCTTGAAGTTGGCGCTGCTCATCTCCTCGGCGCGTTGGCCCAGAATCTCTTCACGGTCCAGTTGTGACAAGCCCAGGATGTGGCGCTTGTCTGCCTCGTCGATGTACTTGCCCTCTAGGGGGTAGGGAACATCTGCAGCGCGCTCTGGTACGTCATCGTCGCGGTCTGAATCCGACTCGTCCATGGCGTCGGATCCTAGCGAGTTTGGCGATGAGGCGGCGGGCGACGAGCTACGTGGAGTCAGCGCCATGGTGCGGTAAGGGGTTGAGGTGGTCGGTAGAGAGTTGGGTGCAGGGCCCAGAGCATTGGAAGCGATGGAAAGTCGCGAGGCAGAGGCAGTGGAGGAGGGTGACAGGTGAGAGAGGGTACTCACGCCTCGCCTTCTTCGACGTCTGCATCTTCGTCACCGCCAGCGAGGGCGAAGAGCTCATCGTCGATATCTGACATTGTGAAGGCGGCTCGCGAGGATTTCGCGATAAATCCCGGGTCGTAAAGGCGATGATGGAGGCGAAAACGGTGTCGCTGGGGGGACTGCGAGCGGATTCGGGCGTGGTTAGGGGGAAAGAGGATGAAAGAAGAACGTGGGAAGTCCAAAGGTCGGGGAAACGCTCGTTGCGCTTGGGCCATACGCGTTGAAAAGTGGGCCTGGTTAGCGTGCATGCAGTGAGCGCATCATACCTCAGCAGACTATTGTTGCGCCTGCTCGGCCCAGGAACAATCGCATTTTCCTTTCACTTTTATTGTACAATAGCCAGACGTCCAACATGTCTTCCGTCCTGCTTTCACCGCGGACCGTATCTCACAGTGCAGTCCGCCGCGGGCTCCAACACCCTGTGCTCGAATTCCTCGCCCCAAGTACCACAAGCCGTGCACCACGCCAAACGTCACGCCTCTCCAGTACCGTATCAGCACCACAACCACCACCTCCACAGTCTGAATCTCCGCAATCACGGCCCTCGCTGCAAACACAGAAAAATGGCAAGCCAATACGGCCGCTCACGCAAGAGCAGCAAGAGTTCCTTTCCTCTGCATTGAGAGTGAACCAGACGGGTGAACTCGCCGCCATCCTGATATACGCTGCCCAATCGCCCGTCATCACACGGTCACACCCGCACTTGCGACCGCTTATGAAGCACATGTACGACCAGGAGGCAGGCCACTACAAGTTCTTCAATGAGGTCATCTCCAAGCACCGCATACGGCCCACTGCAATGACACCAATATGGACCGCTGCGGCCACCATGCTTGGCTGGTCGACTGCTGTCATGGGTCGTGAGGCAGCCATGGCCTGTACCGAGGCTGTCGAGACAGAGATTGGTACCCACTACAACGAGCAGGTGCGAGTGCTGCTGGACTGGGCAAACAAGTGCGAGGCGCGGGGCGAAAGTCTGGGCCCAGAGCTGGACAAGTTGGTAGTTGAGCTAAGGAGGATACGAGATGAGGAGCTGGAGCACCTGGATCATGCAGTAGAGAATGATGCCAAGGAAGCGAAGCCATATGACTTGCTTACTGAAGTTATAAGAGGAGGCTGTAGAGGAGCCATTTGGGTGAGTGAACGTGTGTAGTGTGATGTGATGAATGAGACGAAATATGTAAATACTGTAACATATTGGACACATAAGTATGGGTACTGAATCGAGGATCGCACGTCGACCTCATTATCAAGTACCCTCTTTTACTAGGGTCAAGCGGGTATTGATGTTCCTTGTCTTTCTGCGCAGAAATTCATTGTACCAAGCAGTAAAAGCAGAAATGGATAAGAATGAAAAAAATGCATAAATGGAAACTATAATGTAATGGTGCTTGTGTGCAGCACGTAACTAAATGACGCCAACACCATGTGAGTATATGCTACCAGTTGTCCAAGACCCAAAACGTTAAGCGTGCATCACTCAAACCCACCGCTAAGATCGCTAAGTACACTCCTCATGCCCTGTTTCCTTCCACCTTCCACCTTCTTCCGGAGTGCTTCCTTCCTCTTCCCCTCCTTCTTCTCCAGCAACGCTCTTCGCTCTGCCTCTCGTGCCTGAGCGTGAATGTTACTCCTTCCAGTACCACCTCTCCGCACAGCACTCTCTTTCGGAGTACTGTTGCTTGCTGACCGTTCGCTGCTGACAGACAGATTACTAGTCGCCTGACGTATGAGCGAAGGAACGCGGAATCCTGGCGTTGCAGCAGAGCGAGATACAGCATGGAAGGCTACATTGGAGTCTCCGCCTACAGATTCGTCGACTGTAGATTGCCGACTCAGAGTCAGACGGTCGATGATGGGTTTCCGCGACGCTGGGACAAAGGCAGCTTCTTGGTCATCTTCGGCGTCAGAGAGCTGTGAGTCTGGTATCACGACGCGTGGGTCTTCAATGAGCTCCGAGATAGAGTCTCTGACATCATCCGCAGTCAGAGGCTTGCGGGCGAGGCTGTCGGATGCGGCTGTACGGCGCATGTGCGGAGGTGGTCGGTTCTCCTTTTGCGAGTCTTGAGACTTGCGCTTGAGTGGACTGTTTGGCGTTGACAGGTTTTGAGACTGGGCCTGTGAATCTGGAATGGCTATGTCGTCACCTTGGACATTCTCTTGAGACTGCGAGTCGTTCGTGTCCAACTCTTTCTCGGGCATGTTGAGGTAGTCGTACTCGCCCTCGTCGGCAAAATCAGCTAGTGTGTTGAAGAATGCCTTCTTCTTGTCGTCGTCAGCGAGTGCCTTGACTTTCTGGTCTTGCAACAAGGCGTGAGTCTGCTTTTGGAATGCAGCGCGCTTCTTTCGCTGGCGCAACTCGGCCTCGTCTTCAGAATCGGACATGTCGATGCCATCATAGCCGCCAGCCCTGCGCAGACCGCCCTTCCTCTGCATCTTCTTGTAGAGCTCGGCGAGTTGCTTCTCGTCGTCCTTCTTCGTCTTGTCACTGATCTATGTTAGTATCATGAATGTATATGTGAAGATGGAAGCTGAACTTACGCGTAGAAAGCGGCAATCTGGCGCTCGTCAACCTTGACATCGTTGTGGTCGATCATATCCTTGAGGTCTTCGTCTTCCTCGCCCTCTTCATCGTCACTGGCTCCTCCAAGTCCAGCATACTCATCTTCAGACTCCTCGGCTTGTTCCATGACAGCTTCCCTTGCCATACTCTTCTTCTTATTGAACTCTTCGACCGCCTTCGCCTTCTTGGCTTCTTGTTGCATCTTCTTGAAAGCATTCTTGCTATGCTTAGGAGGGCGTTGGATGTCGTCCTCGCTCTCTTCCTCAGCATCGACTAGGTCGTCTTCAACGTCAGAGAGCTCAACAGCTGCCTCTCGTCGTCCACGCTGGAGCTTGCCCTTTTGCTTGATCGGCGATTCAGCAACGGGCATCATGACGGTATCGACTGTGGATGGGGGCAGGACAAGGCCTGCTGGCGACCGAGAGAAGGAGAAGCCTGCATCCTGGGTAGGCTCGAAGTCTTCGACCTGCGTTCGCGAGAACTGTGGGGATGTATTGACTACTTGGCCTATCCCCATGCTGAACTGAGACTCGTCACCAGCCTGTGTGTTCTTTTGTGGAAACGCCAGAGATTGACTGTTGGGAACCAGAAATTCTGAAGCTTGACTAAAGTTTACGCCAGGTTGAGTATCAGGCAGGTTCCGTAGGAAGTCCAGAGAATCTTGCTCAGTGTTAACGGCGGTAGCAGGTTGTGAGTCAGACTCCAACTCGGCCATGGTGCCTGCAAACATCTGTGTGAGCCCTATTCCGGCGTTGGCGTTGCCGAAACCAAAAGCGGCCATTGCGTCGTTTTGAGTTGCTGGTTGAGTGGGCGTGGCAGGCCTAGGCGCCACAGCATCGCCATCCTCATCGTCATCATCGATGACTCGATTGCGAGCACGATTCACCATTTGTCTGCGGACTGGCGCAACCGCATCGTCGTCATCCATATCCATATCGGCATCGTCGTCTTGTTGGGCTTGTACCTTCTCCGCTGGCTCGTCGTCTTCGTCAGCCATTCCATCGATGAGAGCATCCGCATCATCTGGGTTGCATGCTTCATCTTCGCCCTCATCTTCGGAGCCTGAGAGAACGAGTTCAGCATCTTCCTGGTCATCGTTCTCCCCCGGGTTGGCATCTTCCTCGTCACTGCCAACGTAGTCGCCATCATCCTCGTCACTGGATGGGAGATCATCGATGGTCTCGCCGTTCTTCTTTGCCTCCTTTCTCTCCATCTTGGCTAGCTCGAGGTCCTCTTGCCTTTGCTTCTCGAGCATTGCCACCATGTCGTCGATTTCTTCCTGGCGTTTCTCCCTCTCCTCTTCAGTCTCGGGGTTATGGCCTCGCCTGATCAGATCGGCTATCCTCTCCTCTTTGGCTTTTGCTGTTTGTTGGCGAGCCTTCTGGGCCAGTGAAAACTCCATCTCAAGACGAGTCACTATCTTCTGTCCCTTCTTGCTCTTCGGTGGTGATTTCACCAATTGAGCGAGAGCACGAAGATGTACAAGCGATCCGGCCTCGTGGTCCTTCTTCGTAGGCAATCGATCAAAGACAGGGAATCTACTCTTGGGCTTTTCTACCTGCAGATCATCATCCGAATCAGAGAGTTCCACCATGCCATTGTCCGTAGCCTTCTGAGTCTCTACCACAGCTTTGCCCACAGTCACCGGCTCGGTCTGTTTCATCCAAGGATGCACTGGCAGATGTTGAAACTCAGGTGCTCGTCCTTTACCCTTATCGAGCTTGACGGACCCGGGTGATTGTGCCTTGCTGTCGGCCACTGTGATAGAAATCTGTTGATCCAGTGGAACATCCTTCTCGTTGGGGGCATGTTGTCTGGGTGGACTTGTTGGCGGCGTGTCATGTATCTGGTTCGCCTCTGCGTCAGAGGATGCCAATGCTGAGCTGGGTTCTGGTGTGGGGAGGGTTACCACTTCGGCGCCGGGCGCTTGATAGTTGAACTTCTTGAACAGATCCTGTGTCGTGAAGCGCTTCTTCGTCTTGGCTTGGTGGGTAAGCTGCATATTACGGCTTATGCGCTGCTGATCCCGCGCCATTGCCTCCATAGCCTTTTTACCAGCCCTGCGAGTTGGCTTAGCATGTTGTGTGAGCCGCCTACCCCCCTCACCATCTGACTCGGTGCCTGAACCATGATCTGCTGGCCGCCGTGCAATCTTCTTGGGCTTGGTTTGTTGTGCTTCCTCCTCCTGTTGCTTCGCCAGTCTTTCCTCTCGAATCCGTCGCACTCGCTCTTGCAGATCGGCATTGTGCAGGGGATGCGAAGATTCGTCTGACTC